AAACCAATCTTCAACCACTCCGGCGGGGAAATTCAAATTCTCCACCTTCTCGTCATCGAAAGACAAAAATGATTTTTCAAAAATGGGGAACTCGTCTTTTTCTTTTCCCTTATCGACGACTGGAGTCGTGTTTTTTCTTCGATCTCCTCTCCTCAGTAGCCGGAGTCTCCTCAATGTAAAGTTTCTTCAATTTTGGCCTTTTCTTCCTCGACTGAGAAACCTCCACAGACTTTGGAGACAATTGCTTCTCTTCAGTCCCAGCTTGGACCAACTCGGTCGAGGCTAGCACTAAGGGCAACTCGGTCAGATCATCATTTCTTTCTGCCTCGGTCTGAGTGACCGCTTTTGCATTCACAACCGGACTCGTTTCCAAGTTTCTGACCTCTTCATGATGATCCGGATTTTCCAAGTCAACCACCGGAGTCGAGCGAGCCTCAATCTCAAGGGACTTCGGAGCAGCCGACCTCTGCCTCAAAGCCTTAGCCAAGTTCCTTCTCGTCATACTCGTTAACCGTTGGGAATGACTTTTTTCGATCTTTCTCCGAAGTTCTTTGTTTGGAAAACGGCGTCAAAATTCCTTCGCTGCTTCAACTGTCCTGAACCCCGAAAATCCGAGTAGAGGGTAGTACACTGAGATAAAGACGATAGTCATCAGTTCAACACACAATTTATAGGTCGAAATAAAACTTACATCATATGTATCGACTTACCAGGTTTAAACAAAGTTTCAACTGTCGCCAGAGACAATCCCGCTTACTCAAGTCTCAGTTCCGAGATCAAATCCTTGTAACTTCGCAGATTGTCTTTAATCTTGAACAGAGTAGCCAACACACCTCCAAATTCAGGACTTAACTTTGGCTCCTTTGTCCACTTGGCTACAAACACAAATATCTGACCTGTTAGTACACAAGACGCAAATAGTCAGAAAAAACAAATATGGAGGCTCTCAAAATAAACTTACAGTAACCAGAAGATATGTTCATGGGAATTGTCTTGTCATCTACAGGAGTCTCCTCGACAAAATCTGCTGCCTGCCAGTAACCTATGACCCACAACCACTCTTCTTGAAACCCATGCAGAGTATCCGGAACATCTTTAATCAAATCACCGAGTTTGAAGCCGATACCCGCCTTCGCACCAGCGAAAAAGCAAAAAGAGGGCTCAACTACTTTCCTATTTGAACTCCTCTTAAAGCTGTAAATGCTCCTCATGTCTCTACACGAAGGCAATCCATACCTCTTCTCGTGTGTCAAAACCATCAATCCTATAATCTTTTTCCAATTATTAGGGGTAATTTGGCAGAGAGCGAGGCCCCAATCCCTTAAGTAATCGGTAATAATACTCGGCAGAGGAAATTTTAGACTCGACCTCAAACTCTCTGCAAAAACGCCCACGCAACCCAGAGGCGGGGAAGTAATTCTTTCCCCAGGATACGGCGCAAATAACTTAACCGATGGCAGAACTCGGATTTGTTCTCGCAACAGTACTACATCCGCATCAGTCAGAATACTCGGTTCACCCTCATAGTCTATTTCCACATCGGGCCATCTCCTTTCCGGCCTTTTCCAGTGATCCTCCAACACCATGGCATTCACCTCCACCAGCTCATCCTCCTCGGTACTATTCGGTTTCACTTCCAGATGAATGACATAGCTCGGATCCCATCGATAATATTCATAAGCCAATTCGACAAGCTCAAAATCGTGATACATTGAGACTGATTCTGAAACAGTCATATCCGAAGACTCTTCACCACCATTATTCTTTGAGGCCATGGCTTAACTCTGAAGATTGAAAAGCGAAATTAAAGGATAAAATTCAAGAATAAAAAATTTGCGAGTAAAACTTAACCCAGAATTCACGACTCGAAGATAGAAAGAACGTAGACCCGGAAATCTCAAGCGAAGGCGATGAATAACTCTCGAAAGAAAATAACAACTTTCACACTTCAGGATGATGCGCAGAATTTGGAATTAGCAAAAGTAAGAAAATCCTGCCAAAATTTGAAGGCGCCTATTTATAGTCATCGAATTATGACCTTTAGGTCATTTAATTAAGGGCGCGTGGAAATCACGCCCTCCGTCGCCCCAAACGTCGCGACTTTTCTGCTGTCAGAACCTACGCCATACATGTCGGCCTATAAAAGCAACCGTTACTCACCTTTAATCCATTGTGGCTTTTCGTCATACGTCACTACAATTAATGAGCAACCGTTGTGCCGTTTCAGAGATTAAATACCCACTGCTATTCCCAAGGCAAATCACCATACCATCTAAGTACCCTCACCTCGGTATCCATACATATCGGCAATACCGATGCAACGCAACACTGACAAAAGTATAGTTAAGCCCGGGGCTTCTCTCAGACCAGACCTTTGTTACAAATCTCTACGTTGCCAGCGATTATCATTATCATATAACCGCTAACACCGGGGCCTCTCTGTTATCATCCGAATTGATAATCCACATTACCCAAGTAAATACGCGCAGCTCCAAGTAGCCCCACTTCGGTCCAACCTTGAAGAACCAACCGAACCGCACCAAACCGACGTCCGAACCGACATACTGAAGTCAACCAAAACGGAGTTCACCAAAGCCAAAGCTGGTAATGACACCCTCATGATGCTTACGCAAACCAAGACCCTCTTCATGATTATGAGTGGGCCCAACTGACATCGCCGCCCATCATAAAGTTACTTTATGGGAAAAGCTACCGTACACTTCTCGTAATTAGTGACAAAAGTTTACTATAAATAGTTGATTCTTACACTTGTACAAGGATCAAACTCTGACTATTCTTCATATACGCGAAACAGCTCCAACAGCTTTCACCTCGGTTCACCTCGGGCCGAGGCCATTGTCTTTGTTCTATCACGTAATTTTCGTTCATCAAACAAATAAATTGATCCAGCTTCACGATAAACCCGTTGTTGTAATCCACATAACAACACGACCCTCAAATTAATGTTAAAGAAATTCAAGATCAAGCCCCAATGGAGACCCAACTGTCAAATCCAAATTTGACGATCAAATTTAAGTCCACAAAGAGAAGAATCAAAGAGTTTCATATAGAGATTTTACCCATGTCAAATCTATATTTGAACATCAAATTCAAGTCCACAAAGAGAAGAATTAGAGGGTTCTATATAGAGCTTTTACCCGCAATATTGCTTGATCAAAATACAATAAGTTCGTACAAAAAATTTATGTTTCCATAATTTTATTATTATAAATTGACACGCCCAATGGAACTTCAAATAAAATTTAATGTTAAATTGTTCTCTTGTGTTCGTATGAGTTTCTTTTGTGTCTTGTGTGGACCCGGATTTTTCGATAGCCGAGTATGATTCCCAGCAACCGAGTGTTATCTCTCCCCAACAACCGAGTGTTATCTCTCCCCAACAACCGAGTGTTGTTTCTCCGACGATGTTCTAACACTGTGGACTTACACACTTCAACCCTTCACATTGGGGAGTATGGCACCTTTCACATACTAACTACGCAATTTTGAATTTTGTTCATCCTTAAGTCCTATATTTGTTTTTTACTAAACCATCATTCATACATTCAACCATTCATACATTCAACCATATCCTTTCCCTTTTCCCCTCTTTCGGTTAACAGAAATCTAAAAACCTAAATCGTCATTATTCATTGTCTTCCCACAGCAGGGCCTTCGGGCCACCACGATGTCGGACTCCGTCGAGCCGTACGACCTGCTTTCTGGGACACGTCGATTGCGGCGACAGCCTGTTCTCCGAGTGAGGCGGCGGAGCTCAGCCTTGGATTTCGCCTTTTTCCCGACATCAAGGTGGGTCGTACTCTGGCGGCTCTTCAGCGGCGGGCTTCCGACGAGGTTGAGAGAGTTGGTTTTGGCTCCAATCATCCCCTCGGTGGTGGTCGGGGCTGAGATCTGTGCGGTTCCACTCTCTTCCTTTCTTCCGCTCTTCTCTTCCATTTGTGCCGTTTGGGTATTTTGGCGGAGATGGTTTGAGTCTAGGCGTGTTGCCTAGATCCGGGTTATCGAGAGTTGGGAAGTGGAGTTTGTTGTAATTCTCCGATTGTCGGTTATTGGGTGTTCTACCCGGGTGAGGGGTCGGGATCTTGTCTCAAATATGGTTAGGCGACGTTTCTGCAGTTTCTGGTTTTGTGGCTTGGGCCAAGTCTCTGGTCGTGTGGGTGGTCCTTGGGGGTGTCGACATCGTTGCAATTTCTTGTTTTGTGGCTTTTACCGAGTCTCTAGTCGTGTGGGTGGTCGCTGAGGGGTGTCGACATCGTTGGTGTTCTCTTTGGTTTCATTATTGGGAGAAGGGCTCTCGTTTAATTTATTTTGTGTTTTTTTGTTGTGTTTGTGTTTTGATTTGTAGGTTGTATCTTATTTTCTCCTCTTCTAGAGGATTGTGTTATTCCTCTGCGGTGAGTTGTGTTATTTCGAGCTGTCTAGTGTAGTCCTCTCATTCCGGCTATTCAGTCGTTTGTAATTATGTATGTCTTTTAGTTCAATGAATCAATCGTCCCAAAAAAAAAACAAAAAAAAAATCCTATATTTTTTATGATTTCATTTTCGCCATACTTACTATATTGATCACGCTCTAATAATTGTATGTTCAAAGGAAGGAAAATAATAAAATAGATTAGTTTTTTTACTATGCAATCAGCAAAAGAATAAAATACATTAGCTTTTTTACTATGCTTATTCAAGAAACTGAAAAGCACATGGTAGCCAACGGTTATTATTTACTTGGACAAACAGACTTGAACAAACATGAAACTACCACATCTTCCTATGATGCACATTATTGGCATATTCACATGTACCAAATTGTAAAATAGCCTGTCTACAACTTAAGTCATATATCACTATAACCAGACCTGCCATGACTTATTTGAAATACTTACACATAAAACAAACAAACAAACAAACAACACCACTTACAACAACCATCACAACATAAAAACATCAGCCAGTTGACCTCTCTAGTTCTTACTGTATAAATAATTTTAGTCTCTCTTTGTTTCAGCCACCTGAACGGTCTCGGGGTAAAGCACACTCTTGGCACCCGTGTAGTCCACCAGCTTCTTGCCGAGAGCCTCCCTTGATGGCTCGTCAGGTCCCGTCATGGACATCAGCCTTAAACTCCACTCCACCACCTCCGGGAACAAAAGCTTCCACAAATAAGTCACTTTGAACCAAGCCGGCTCGGTCACGTACCTTTCTCCACGGATTGCACTCCTCACTATCGCCTTTGCGCACCTCTCCACACTTAGCACAGGCATTACGTTCACTTGCACCTGCAATTCATGCCACACAAATCCAATACCCCAACCAAATTAATTAAAACAAGAACAAGGAGTGTAGCTTTTACTACTTACATCTCTCATGTCCTGATCGACTTCGAGTCTTCCTGCCTTGTTGTAGAATTTTCCTTGAGTGAGCTCGGATTCTATGTATCCGGGAGTAACGAGTGTTATCCCAATATCCGGTCCAAATTCCACCCTCAACGTCTCGAAGAACTGCGAAATCGCTGCTTTGCTCGCCTGTTTTTATTGGATTGCCACATTTTTAAGATAATCAATATTTCGAAAAATCGTAATAGAATAGCCATACGCTAAACGGGCCATTTCCATTTCTTCGTAAAAGGGACTAACATTGTAAATACTCATCCTGGGTGAAGGCATCCAAGAGGCAGACGACGAAAGCACCACAATTTTGCCTCTGCTATTCCTAAGGTATGGAGCTGCAGCCTTCGTCATGTACACATAACCCCAGAAATTCACGTCCTGCAACCTCGAAATACATTCGTCATTAAAAAGCACGAATTATCGCGTCCGTAATATTTTAAAAGGCGATAACTAACCACACACATTATATATATCCTTCATGTTCTTCAATTTGACCACAAAAAAATTTAATCAACACTAAAACCGAACATAAAATAGACGAACACGATTCATGATCATACCATAACGTTTCGAAAATTGGTGATATCATCAACTTCCTCCAGCAAGGCTACCGAGGCAATCCCAGCATTATTGACTAGATGATCCACTGCAGATACATATGAAATTTGATTATAAAAAAAAACTGAAATCTTCACTCTAATAAGCTTATTTCAATACTATAATTAATTGAAAAAGGCTACAATCCCGTCGCATAATGATTCTGTGAGGGGTTTTAGCCAAACATGTAACTTCTTCCATGTATGTACAATAACATAACCGTATATCTAATGACAAAAAATCCTCACGAAATCATTCGTGATGGAATTGGCGGACACGTGTGGTGAATGTGATCTTACATCTACCGAAATGATTCATAGTCTGATCAACGATCCTCCTGCAATCCTCGACCTTGGACACGTCAGCGCGTATAACGACGACATCTGGCGACCCCAGATCACGCGCCCTTTCAGCCACGTCACCAAGACTTCCTTCTCGCCTGGCCGCGAGAGCTAAGCACGCCCCTCTCTTAGCATACTCGTACGCGAGCCACTACACCAATAAATAAATAAACAAATAAAACACTTGACAACGTAATTCATCAATAATTAATTTTAAAAATCAAACATATTAAATAGGGAAAAATACTAAGATCTCATTACCCGACGAGACCATCCCGTCGGGTGTTTTAACCATTGGATACACATAAAGTTAATATAAGATAGATGATCCAACGGTAAAAAAACCCGACGAGATGGTACATTAACGGAACCATAGCATTTCTTGGCAAGTTAATAAAATTAATAAAACTTACTTCCCCTATGCCGGAGGAAGCTCCGGTGATGAGGACAACTTTTCCGGCAACGTCTTCGGAGAAAAGGGTACCCAAAATAGAGAGGAAAAACTTGAAGATCTGAAAGGGCGGCCAGAAGAACAAAAGGGAAAAGAAGGTGAAAGCCGGTGCGGCTAAGTTGAGGAATGTATGAATTAATTCCATGATGATTTTTTATCTTTTCCTTCCCCTCTAAATATGTGACTTATAATGGTTTTTTCGTTTATGAGCTAAGTATGTATATATATATATATATATATATAGACTGATGATGAGAGCTTAAATGTATATATATATATATATATATAAATGGAGATATGTATATAGCCAATTGATGATGATAAGTATAAGAATTGTAATAAGAGTTGGGATATTGTTCCTTCTGAGTATCGGTGGCACCGCTGCATGAAGAGAAGATAACACGTGTCATTTGGTTGGCAATCGGTGACGACGACTAGATCTGTGCGAAAATGTTTGAAATTATTGAACACAAATGATATATCTAACGTCGGCTTTTCTACACTACCTTCTACTTTGCTTGTACCTAATTATCAACATGTATCTCTTAAATGAACGCTATGTGTCCTTTTATTAATAAATTAAAACAAAAAAAACTTAATACAAATACGAAAATGTCTATACTTTAAAGAAAGAACTAATTTACTTAAGAGGTATTGAACTTTTCTAATGTTAACATTTGACCTAAACATAATTATATACTTCAAATAAACCAACAATTAATTCAAAATTTAGTTTCGAACGATCTTCTTCAAACAAGAAAACACTCACGAATATATGATCGGAAAAAAGACGTTTTAAGATTTGCATTTGAAGAAGAACACGAAGGTACATAATTTTGTTTTCTGATTCGATATTTGAAGAACAACATTATGTGAAATGTGTTTTTAATTTCTTGTTTTTCATTTAAATTAATGTCCATTCATGCGGTAATGTGCATCCATGATTTTGATTTGCATCCGTGAGTTATAAAACATAAATACGATGAATGTTGTAATGTGAATTTGTATTTGTTAATATGGATAATTCATTGTTATTGTTTTTTTCTCATAAAGAAGCACAATAGATGTTTGACGAAATGTCTAAAGGGACTCTGAATACGCAAAACCGATGAGCACCAAAATACAGCTTGCCCAAAATTACAACCGAACAAGTTGTTGTTGTTGTTGTTGTTGTTGTTGTTGTTGTTGTTGTTGTTGTTGTTGTTGTTGTTGTTGTAGTAGTCATAAACAATGTTTATGACATCAGTTTGACATTTTAGAATACCATCATGAGCTTTAGTCATAAACAAGGACAATTGCACAAACTATGCTTTAAAACGCAACTTGATAGACATGTGCGATTCTAGAGGTTGGTTGTTGCTATACATTTACTTGGTTGTTTATAAACACACAACATTGATGGTGAACTAGCTGTGTCTTATTGATAAAAAAATTGTCCTATCTGTTGTTTAATGTATCGTCATAGTGGAGAAAATGGATAAAGGAAAACAAGTCATGATAAAGAATGAAAGATCCTTGTGGCAAGGATCCAACGGTCCTAAACAATGGAGTAGATGAAACCATAATATTAAGTGAAGTTTGTCTCATTAAAACAATAAATTGTTCATTCATTGACGACCGTAGTTGTTCCTCCATATTTAGTTGTTCATTAAATCTAAAAGCTTTAACAGAAAAAAATGTAATTGTTCAGACATCAACTTGAAAGACCATTATTTAGTTCTTATTTGTATGTGATGGTTGGTGTTTATGTTTTTTCTTATATGCAAATGCAGGTGCAGGTGCATGGCATAATATTATAATTGTTTTATCAAGTCCATTTGTGATTTTTCAGATCCTTCAATGGTATGTGTTATTGTGCAAAATGAGTTGTTTTTTTATTGTTTGTTCTTTACAAGCTGTTAGCAAGTGTTATTTTCGTAAGTATGAGGTCTTTCAATGTTTGTTTTCGCAATAGGTGTTGAGTGAAATTTCGGAAGATGAATACCGTGATATTGTACCTCTAAGGTGCACTCTGACTACCAAAGAAGGTTGTGTTTATGAAGTAGTTATGAAGGACTTGGATAACAGACTCCAATTTGTGGATGGTTGCGAGAGGATTTCATTCACACAGAAAGAGTTAGGAATGAATTTACTGTTCACATTGAACGAATCAATGCATCAAGCTTTAACGTATCTATATGGACGAGAGCTGGTGTGGAAAGAGCGCCGCAATATCGGTTTACGCTTCAGCTAAAGGAAACTCATATTGAACGTGCTCGCCTGGTAATTGCATGCTTTAATTTGTCTAATTTCATCATGGAATTGTGTGGTAAATGGTCCTTAACAAAATTAATAATGTTGCATTTTTGTACATTTCATTCCCATGGCGTTCTGGAATACGCACATCAAAGATCAAAGGTGTTTTAAAAAGAAAGCGTATCTTTTTACTGACTAGTGTTTTTACCGTTTGGATGTAACTGAAAGGCATGGTAAAAAGTTAATGGAACATGAGGATGCTCGTCAATTCATCGAACGTAATGGATCGATGGAAGGTTGTTCGTGTTCATTTGTGGTGCTAGGAGGAGATCATCTAGTGTTTAGGATTATTCTGTAGTTGATGTAACCGGTATAAACTATTTTGTCTTTGTAAATTAATGAATTATGCTGTAATTTTATTTGGTGTGTGTTCTGGATAGGAATATGTTTATTATATGTCATGGCAACTTTTGAATTATGTTGCATAATCCATTAAACATGTTAAAAAATAAGATTAACATGCTACATGATAAGATGAATAGTTTCTATAATAAGATGAACATGTTGCATATACTAAGATGAACATGTTGCATTATGTGATGAATATGTTGCATAATCCATTGAACATGCTAAAAATTAAGATGGACATGTTACATTATTAGATGAATATGTTATATAATAAGATGAATATGTTGCATAATATATTGAACATGTTAAAAATTAAGATGAACATGTTACATTACATAATAAGATGAATATGTTTTATAATAAAGTGAATATGTTATATATTAAGATGAATATGTTGCATATACTAAGATCAACATGTTACAAAATAAGATGAATATGTTTTATAATAAGATGAATACGTTACATACATACATAATAAGATGAACATATTACATGTACTAAGATGAACATGTTGCATTATGAGATGAATATGTTGCATAATCCATTGAACATGTTAAAAATTAAGATGAACATGTTACATGATAAGATGAATATGTTGTATAATGAGATGAATAAGTTGTATGATAACATGAAAATGTTGCATAATCTATTGAACATGTAAAAAATTTTGATGAACATTTTATATAATATGATGAATATGTTATATAATAAGATGAAAGTAATGGATTGATGGAAGGTTGTTCGTGTTCATTTGTTTTGTTTGCGTTGATGCAATGTTATACAGAATTAGAAGTCAACATTTTGAAATGATATAGGTTAGTACATAATACTGCTGTCAATCTATCACGACAGGCTAAAAAAAACTGTTAACTGAAAGAAGAGTAACCTTATAAAACAAGGGCATAGTTGCAGTTGCACCAGGTTAAAGAAGAGTGGCAAAACATGATTTTGTGGGTTTACATAGGACAAATCAGCTCTTACAATTTGGTATCTTCTTTATTCACACTGACTTACAAACGTGTGAATGTCTTCAATGCCCTTGTCCTGACTGCCATTTGAAATGCAAAATTCACTGTCGTTTCCAACTTCAGATTGTGATGGTTTGCTACTCATTGTTTTTAGATGACATGTGGTTGACTAATGCCCGAGGTCCCTACAAGTAAAATATTACATAAAATTCAGTTCTAAAAAATTTAAGCTACTAAAAAATTAGAGTGTATATTTAACAATGTACTTACCGCATGATTTGCATCTTTGTTTTTTTTGCTGGCGGTGCCCCTCTAGATCTAACCCCACGTGGGTCGCATTTATTAGTCGAACCTCTTGCCGGATCCTTAATATTATTTGATGCGTTTGTGAAATCATTAGTTGAGGTTCTTGTATTGGCTTCTTCATTGCTCTCAAGGTTATCAATTGCACGTCTGACTTTCTTCACACACTTTTCTGTATCGGGCTCGTCCTCAGATGCCTTGGAACACATCTCGACTGACTCTTTATACAGTTCGTGAAATCTTTTGTTTTGTGGATCAACAGAAGCACACACATAGTGAAATCTCTGTATAAGATGTTTTCCAGCTAAGGTCGTCCACCTATCAAATATGCATTTGGTTGGCACCTTTCGAACATGCAAGTACTTTAATGCAGTAAATAGATGACTACATAGAATGCCATATGTTTCCAGCATCTTGCAATCACACTTGAATATGCCTTCATTTATATTGACCTTGACCGACCATTCTCTTTTGGTTGCTGGATCATAATTGTCCATTTGGAAGACATATGACTCCCCATCATCAGTCCTCTTCTCAATCACAATATTATTTTGCTCACAACCAACCTCCCTTCGAATTTTACCAAAAACCTAGCGTGTATAAAGTCCAGACAGCTGAACAAGAATCCCGTGAAGTGGTGTGACTTGCGGAATATCTTGTGGGTTCATCTCTGATTCTGCTTCTTGAAAGAAGTCGTCCGCAACGACCCCACAATATTATGGAAGTTTTTAAGGAGCTCTGTAATAGTGCTGCCCGATTTTCCCCCTGCTTGAAGAGTGCATTCACGGATTTCTCTCTTTGGGTTGTTCTAGTCATCCCCATGAAATTCCCTCTAAGATAAGCGTCACACCATTGATGTTTCCTTTTATATGTATCTTTCACCCACGCATTGTTTGTCACACCATGTCTGATTGTTTGTAATTTCCATTCAGATTCAAACTCATTGGGAGTCCAATTCTTCATTATAAACTTCCCAAATATTTTGCAGAAACCGTGGGCCTTCACTCGTTGTGCACAATTTCTCTCAAGATGACACGCACACAGCCTATGTTTAGCTTCGGGGAACACCTCAATTATTGCAGAACGCATAGCATCGTCTTGATTCGTGACAATGGTGGCAGGCATCTTCGATTTCATTGCCGCTAAAAATATTTTTAGCAACCACATGTAGGATTCGGATGTCTCATTATGAAGCAAGGCCCCACCAAAAATTGTTGTATTTAGGTGGTTA